GCCCCTTCTTGTCCCCCTTTTTCCATTAAAGGAAAAGAAGGGCCCCCCCCCCCGTACCCCCAAGATGGGGCAGCTGTGGGCAGGTGCTGCCAGCATCCTCTTCCCCACAGCCTCAACCTTAACTCAGTGCAAATGCAGCGTCTCGCAAGGGAAGCGCCGCTGTGCTCCACGCCACACCGGAGCCTGTGCCAAAGCCACCCTTCCCTGCAGGCCAGCGGGCCAGCTTCTCAGGCTGGCGGGAGGCGCCAGGACGTGGCGAGCACAAGGGGCAGCCCCGGTTTGTTCCCACCCCTGCCTCTCGCTTGGACACCTCGGGGAGGGCTCGTTGCCCCATATACATATATAAATATAATCCAAGGAATAAAACAAAGCAGACACACAACCGCCGCTGTGTTCCTGCTGGTGAGACTGGAATCAGATCAGCAGGAAATCCGAGACAGCAGAAAACCAGCCCCCTGCTTTCTTCTCACATCTTTCATCACTAGGAATAGGCTCTTCTTCCTTCCTTCCTTTTCTTTCTTTCTTTCTTGCTTTCTTTCTTTCTCTTCCTGTGAAAACGGCGACCAGGACCGCAGCTGGGATGTGCTGGCCGCAGGAGGCAAGGAGAAGGTCAAACTTAACTAGTCACTTTATGTTCCACCCGTCTTTGATCTCCTCTGGTCGCTGGCTTGACTAGATTTTCTCAGGAGGGCAAAGTTTGGGAGGAGGGAGAAGACAATGCCCCCTCCCCTCCAAAGACAGCTCTATGGAGAGGAGAGGAGGAGGAGGAGAGTCTGGGCATGGCTGCCAGGAGCTGATGCCTCTGAGGTTGGTTTTGGTTCTGGGTTTCTCCTGCTGTTTTTAGCGCTTCACTTTAGACTTCCCATAGATCCAGGCCAGACCTTCCAGGGGAGCAGCCCAGGGTTACTGAGTGCTGGTTGTGACCTGTCTCCTGCAGGGTTCAGGGCCTGTCCGCACCCAGGGGCTGGGCGGGAGGAGAGGGGCGAGCGTGCCATTGCCAAACCAGCCTGGTTTCCACGGGAAGGTGCGCTGCCTGAGCTGGCTCCTGTAGCTGTGGTGGGCTGTTGTTGCTGAGCGCGGGCCGGTCCCCCTGACCTGCCAGCTGCACAGAAGGGGACCGGGGGAAAGCCCTTGATGGTGATGGGGCTGGAAGCAGGACTGGCCTGTTTGAAAGGCAGAGGGGGTGCTCAATGGGTGCCCGTGAGGGTGAATCTGTTCCCAGGGTTTTCAACCTCAGGGGTCCTGTGTGCCCTGTCCTTCCCCCAGCACCGAGTGGGGGGAAGCCTGGGTAGGTAGCAAGGTGGAGCAGGGCCTGACAAAATCTCCCAGTCCTGTGGGCACCACGTCTTGGCCACACATGTGATCCTCACGCTCCTCATTTCATGGCACGTGGGAGGGCTCATCCAGCCAGGCTGTGACGGTGCTGAGCTTGCTGGGCCCTGGGTGCCCAGCATTGAATGAAGCCTTGAACTGACTGCAACCCACAGGGACTATTTGCCATGCCCTGGGAGGGAGCAGTTTGAACTCCAGCCAAGCCCAGTTTCTTGCCCTCCTTCCCTCAGGATCGCCCCTGCACAGCCACTGGTGGGCTGCCAGGCCTGCTGGCATGGCCAGTGCCTCCACTTCGCTCTGCCTGTCCGCCGCGGGGCTCACGTTTCACCTGCTCGCTCCTACTCCAGGGGCTTACCCCAGCTCCCCGAGCTCCCAAGGCAGGGACCCTTGTTGCCAGCCACATGCCTTACCGAGCAGTGCAATGATGCCCTCTACCGACAGCTGCGTTGGCACACACCAAGCCCAGCAGTCAATCCCCAGGACCTCACTCAGCTCTGCTTGAGTAAGACCAGGGGAAGGCTTGCAGGCTTGGACCTCCAGGCTCTACCGGGTCATAATGCCTGTAGGCAGTGACTCTTGGTCCCTGCCTTCCCCTCTCGGTCCCTGGGAGCGTGACGCGGGAAAGCAAGGCTGTGGCAGAGGGTGCTGGAGGTTGCTGTGGCAGAAGCATCCTGTCTGCAGGCCTGCAACCTGCCTGGCTGTGGTTCTCCATGCCGGGCTGTATGGTGGGGGAAATGCTGCCATCCTGAACCAGCAGCACCTGGCTCCTGCCTTTTGCCAGTCTAAATAAGGGGCTTTGGGGAAGGACAGTGGAGCACACAGGCCCCTGGTGGGTTCAGCCCATTGATCATGGCTGTGGGCATTTATACAGCACTCGTACCTGCTCCCTTAATGGCTGTGGGTGACAGCACTCTCCTGAGCCAAAGGGCTGTAACCTCTCAGCTCCCCATCACAGGAGACAGGCTTGAGGCAAGGGTCTGCTCTTGCCCAGGTGAAAGCCTGCTCATGAGGGGTGGATGTGGGCAGCATGGACGGGCCCCATCCTCCAGGGCCTGGCAGAGGTGGCACTTTCATGTGCGGTGCCGTAAAGGAGATGCCGTCTTGGCACAGTTGCTGTGGTAGCTTGCAGGGCTCAGCTAGCAATGCCCTTGCCCTGGGCAGCATGTCGCACTGCCTAGGGTGGAGGAGCAGAGCATGGGGGAGCTTGGTCAGCCCTTGCACCACGGCCTCCTTATGGGCAGGGCTCCAGGGCTGCCTGGGCACCTTCTCCGCAGGGCGGGTATGGGCCGATCAGCCCTGCTAAGCGAAGGCTTGTGGGAGACAAGGCACAAACCCAGAGGGACTCAGTAGCAGGCTGGGTCTGGAGATCAAAGTGATCTCAGGAGCCTGCTCATGGTGCTTCTCGTCGGTCCCCGTCCCTGCCCCTTGCCACCCCCCATGAGGCCCAGGCTGTGCCATCAGAGGCAGCGTCTTCAAGGCTGGCTCTGCAGCTGGGGAGAAGCGATCGTGCCCCCCGGCCCCCTCATGCAGGAGGTGATGAGCTGCCCTGGGACAGTGGGTCTGCTACATCCACAATGAGGGCTCCAGGGGAAAACTCAGTGCTGCCTTCTCATGTCGCCCCTGCTTCAAACTGGGGAGCTCCCTGCACTGTGAAACATTTTGAGGGGGACTTTTGTCCCTCTTTTCCTCACCCCCGATTATACAAGCCCCAGCTTCCTTCCTGCCGAACTACCCTGGAGGGGCCCTGTTGCCAGCAGCGGCAGGGGACAAAAGCCCCCAGCTCCTG